TTTAGTTTGACACAATTCGATGTCCTACTTTTTCATAGTGTTATTAGTTATTCCAAATTGTAAACACCCGATTCAAAAAATCTTTGCATGTTCCATTAATCTTGAAAGTCCAAATTTCGAGTTTGGTCCCTCTATTATGCTAAAAGTTAGGATTTAGTGGCCTTACTTAATTTGACCAAATTTGTTAGCATCGTAGTTTTGGTATCCCAAATTTTCACTAATGTTTAAAGTTCAAATTATGATTTGGTCCCTCCATTATTCTAAACTATATGTAGAGAATGAGTAGTTTTTTTAATCTAATGATATTTTAGGTACCTATCAATTTAAACTTAAACTAAATTAGGGTTTTACCCCTCTAATTTGTGATTAAATACTTAACAAGTCCTTAATATTTTGAAATCAGGTAATTTACCCCTAGCTCTGTTCCTGATTCTAAAATTGAGATTCAATCTAGTACTCTAATTTTTCATAGTTCAGTTCTATTTTTATAATGTTATTAGTTAGTGCAAATTATTTATAATATTAACAATTCCTATTAAAGTACATCCATGGAATTATTCTTTAAAATGCTTAAGGGTGTTTTTAAAGAATTCTAAGTCTACAAATCAACCGAATGTTTAAGGATATTTTTGTTTTAAATATTAGGCTCAGTCAAATAGGTAGCTAAAATATATAATCTTTTTCATTTAAGTACCTAAAGTATTCGTTAACTAATGCCCCATATCAACTTTTTTAGAACTTAGATGAAAAAATTTGAATCGATTAAGTATCTATTTTGACGTAAAATACTTTAGATACCTATTTTGACAAAAAAAAAAAACACTTTAGGTACTTAAATGAAAAACAGGGTATACATTAGGTACTTATTTGTGATATAAGCCTAAATTTTATATCAACATTTTAATGACAATAGTTAACGATATTATCAACTAACTTAGAAACATTATAAAAGTAAAGGAATTAAATAATATATTCCTATAAAAAAATCAAATAATATCAAACTAAAAAATACATGGACTAAATCTCAAAGTTTAATATAGTAAAGGGACAAGAACAATAACTTGTCCATGTTAAGAAAAATCTAATCGAAGGTGAAGATAAGGGAGGGTCTATTTAGGGATGGGCATGAGACCTAAACCCGACAGGTTCTGATCCGATCATGTCAGAATTTTTTTTTTAAAATATTCAGGTTCGGGTCAAGTTTTTTTAAAAGTGGTGTTCGGATCTGGTCGGATTCGGGTTTATGGTGAAAAATAAACGAACCGACCAGAAAAAATAATTTTATCTTATATATTTAGGAATAATTACAATATACCCCTCTATATATTATTTTTTCAATTAAATCACTATTTTTATTGAATAAAAATAATATTTTTTATTATTTCGGTTCGGATCGAGTCGGATTCAGATTTTATTTTAAAAAGTTGGGTTGGATCAGGTGGAGGGTATATATTATGCGGGTTGGATCAGATTTCAGATAGAAAAGTCATTATTCTCGGATCGAGTGAACAAAAAAATTAACTCAACCCATGCCATCCCTAAGTCTATTAATGGGAACTTTAATGGTATTGTTGCAGGTTACCGAGGTCAGGCCTGATGTTAGTTTGGTGGTAAGGATGGTCTCAACTGTGGGCACTTATGACTACATTAATGACTGGGAATTCAGGCAGATTGGTTCCATTAAAGTCACTGTAAATCACACATTAATTACTCACTTTTAACCCATTTTTTTAATTGGTGTTAATATTTGACATATTACGTGTGAAATATTTTAACTTTAAACCTTTCATTTTTAGTGCAAAATATCTATAGTTGATTAAAAATTATAAATTAAATTTATCGTTGATTTGATAAGTTTTATGTATTTAAAGTATCGATATATATAAATGATGACATAATATTATATATATATATATACATTTTTTTAACAGGTTGGCTATCTGGGTTACTAGAAGTGAGGGGCACAAAGTACACCCACAAAGACCAAATACAAGAGGAAGTTTATGGCACACTATTGGCTGAAAACACAATAGGTGTACACCATGACCATTTCCACACCTATTACCTTGACCTTGATGTGGATGGTGAGTCCAACTCGTTCGTCAAGTCCAAATTGCAAACTGTGAGTAAATGACCAGAGCTCACCTAGAAAGAGTTACTGGAAGGTTGTTAGTGAAACGGCCAAGACCGAGTCAGATGCCAAAGTTAAACTCGGGTTGCAGTCGGCTGATCTCTTGGTTGTGAACCCTAACAAGAGGACTAAAATGGGTAACTTCGTCGGCTACCGTTTGATCCCGGGATTGGTCGAGGGTCCGCTTTTGACAGACGACGATTATCCGCAGATTCGGGCAGCCTTTACCAACTACAATGTGTGGGTTACCCCGTATAACAAGTCGGAGAAGTGGGCAGGGGGAACTTATGTTGATCAAAGCAGGGGAGATGACACTTTGGCTACATGGACCAACAGGTATATAGTCTTATTAAAGTTGGGTGGGATTAAATTATGATTAATTAAAGGGACTAAAATCAGAATTAGACAGTTAAAGTTGTTATAATGTTGGCATTGTTATAATATTTGACTATTTGTTTAATTGCAGGAATAGAAGAATAGAGAACAAGGACATTGTATTATGGCACATTAGGTTTTCATCATGTACCATACCAAGAAGATTTCCCTTTGATGCCGACGATAAGCACCGGATTCGAGCTCCGGCCGGCCAATTTTTTCGAGAACAATCCGGTGCTTAAAGTGAAAGCTACCCACACTGATGTCAGGTGGCCTAATTGCATGGGACGCAAGCTGTGAATCATCTTAAGAACACTAACGATCAGAAACAATGAATTTGTTTTGTCAAACTCATAGGTTTTAAAGAAAGAATCCTGATTTTCTGCTGTTACAGATTAGTATGCAAGTTGGGTTGGATTGAATATATCTTATTTCTTATCGGATCTAATCCGAATGTGACTAATCGAACAAAACAAATATATACATGGAACAATCAAGTTTATCGAATCGAACATATAATCGAACACATCGATGAACATAAGAAAATCCATAATCAATAGTGATAAAATTACCAACATAATCACATATCACGGCATCATATTGAATTACAGATCATAGACCTGCTTGCCAGTGAACTTGACCTCAATAGGGCTAACATTCTTCCCAATGCTCCTAAAGTTCAGCCCTACACCTTGTCGGCCAGGGTTCACCTTCTCGGGGTACACACCATCTTTGGGGTGCAAATATTGGACCTCACCATTGGGGAACACCCTGTAGAATTGGTACTTGATCTTGTACTTGGACCTAAGCCTAGTCCCCAGAGCCAGGCACTGCTCTTTCCTAGCCAACTTGAGCAGGTTAGGACCTTGTCTCATGATGGCTGCACCCCCAGTCGGCATCTCGAATATTTGTTCCTTGGGTGACTCCCATGTGATCACATAAAACTCTTCCACTTGTGCCTTACGTAAAAGTCCACCCGTGCTGCCACCGAATATAGGCGACGGGGTGTTCGGATCGAGCTCCGGTGGGGTGAACCCGACCGGGGCTTCCTTTGTGGCGGTTGTCGACTCGGCTTTCTCTTCGGTTGCTTCGGCCTTGATGGTGGTACGTTTTGGGGACATGAAGGTAGGGAGTTTTATGGATGACGGTTGCTTCCATGGCACGGCGACTCGGTTGCCGATTTTCGGGGTGTGGAGGGTTGTGGGAGTGAGAATGGAGGCTTGGGTTGCAATTGCCATTGAGAATTGAGAGTGAAATGGTGTTTTTTTGTTGGTGAAGTTTGATTTTGTTAGAGATGATCAGACTAGAAAATGGACCACAGAGAGAATAAGTGGTGGAAATGTTTGGTCATGGATAAGGTAGGATGTGTTAGACCAATTAGATTATGTGGTTTTGATACTTAGGCTTACCCACACCTCACCCTTTTATTTTTAGAGATGATAATTAGATGATTGTTATTTTTAGATATTTTAGGTTCGAGTATGAAAAATATTTGAGCGTTTATTGTTAAATAATTAAGAGTTTTTATAATAAATTAATGATGTGACATTTTATTTTTTTCCAACGATGAAATGATATTTTCTTATGTGGCACATCAACATTATCGTTAAGTTTGTAATGATTGGTATCAAATGAAACATATACTAAACCTTAAGTATGATTTTAAAAACAAATAAATTGTGAGTACCAAAACAAAATAAAAGTAATAGTTTATATACTAAATATCTGGTTTACCCACAATTTTATTTCGAAACTCAAAAGTTTAATCAAGTACAAAATTAATAGATTCAGGGTAAATTACATGTTTAATACTCAAAATGACTAACGTTATGTTTTGTTTCGTTTTAGTACATTGCCTTTAAAAATTTAACTGGTGATTTGCACATGGTACATTTTCTATGGGTAAATTACATTATTCATCACTCATATTTTGGTCATTAAATTAATTTTTTTAATTTAATTACTTAAATTTTAAATTACTTCTAATTTAACCACTCTAACTTTCAAATTTATCTTTTTATTTTTAATTGTATATTATTAAAATAATAATAACAAATATCATAAGAAATAAATGATGTAATTTACCCATAAAAAATGCAGTACCGTTAAGTTTTTAACCGCGATGCACTAAAATGAAACAAAAACTAAACGCCATGTATGATTTTGAAAAAAAATAAAAGTTTAGGTACTAAAACTAATTAAAACTAATAATTTAGGTATTAAAAGTGTAATTTTCCCTAAAAACTTTATTATTTGTTTTGAAAAAATATTAATTAAACTACTATTACTTGAGATCTTTAGGGAGAAGAATACAGAGATAATCCCTTTCCCATGAAAAGCCAACGATGTGGGATTATAAATAGATAATGCTGATTCTCATTTGATCTAACAGCTAATAAACCATGCCAATTTTACAGTCAAAAGAATATTTTTTTCTTCGAAAATATAGCTAAGAATCTAAACAGAAAAGGATATATATATATATATATATATATATATATATATATATATATATATATATATACTTTAAAGATTATATCGAGACACTGTTTGGGATTCCTTTGCCCGTGAGTCCACCTTCTCTCGAGTAATCTGACGTGTTGGGATACAGCAATGTATATGGTACCTTCACAGTTCCATTTCTGTTCTTCAATCTACTGTCATTGTTCCTCTCCATTACTCTGTTTTCAATCTCCACCAGCTTCCTTCCGAATCTTTCGAATGCGGCTAAGGGTTCGGCGTCTGAAGTCCACTCCGGCGTATCTCGTTGTCCGAGGTATATTTCATCAGTTGTATGCCGCGATAAGACCTCGATAAGTGAGACGCCGAGCAGAGTTTGGAACTGTGGTGTGATTGTTTTGAGGAAGGCCAAGTCAGGGTCCTCCTCAAGCTCGGAGTACTCGGCCGTGCCCGGTTCGGGCATGAAGTGACGGCTAATCGTCGGCCTATTGGGGAGGTAGCCTGCGTAAGGGTATTGTCCGAAGTTGACGGCCGCATGCAATGCAGAAGCGATCCATATGATGATTGTGCATGCTTCGATGAGCTCGGCTCGTGTGTTCATATCGGGCCACCATGGTTCGTGTTTCAAGTCGCCGTGGCCCTCGTTCCGAATCTCGGTCCACCATGATTGGATCTCGATGTCCGCTTTTACCACTTCGTCTGAAGGGTAGTAGAATGAGCAATACTCGGTGACCCAAGTTTCGATGGCTGACCATATTTCTAACCCGTCGACAGCATAAGGATAGTCTTCTATCAGAAGTTTAAGGCCAAATGGGCTGCCTGTGTCCCTAACAGCCATTCCTCTACAAAGATATGAAGGGTTCAAAGGTAGTTACTTAAATGTACAGATATACGTGCGTGCGTATGTGTGTATGCAACTATGCATGTACATATGCATGTATGAATGACTTACCTCTTAATTAGATCAATAGGGAGAGCCTGGTCAGTGAAAACCCAGTCCTTGTAAACAGAAGAAGACATTTCCAGGGCATGTTTACCCGGAAAGACGGTCAATTCGAATACCCCACCGGCATTGATGAGGATCTGCCGGGCTAAAGCATTTATGTTCATCGTGTCCCGGAAATGGGGATGCAAGAGCTTATATATGGGGTGAACCACACTCAGCTGCCTATTACTTGCAATTATGAATGGCTCAATCACAGCATGTGTGTTCAACCTGCAAACATGGCAGATAAGCATTGTGAAGCCATATACAACTTCCATACATTTTAGTACATTTATTGAGCTTTGCCATTGCAATGTTATACCAATGAGAAATGAGCTGGTGGTAGCCAGAATCATTCACGGCAGCATAAGCTTTGGCCAATTGCCAGACCGAACCTTCGATTCCGTCCTCCGACGGAGTGAAAACTTTGCTAACAGGACCATGGGTGTCCCCTTGTGGATGTGGTAGGCTCAACTCAATCGCTAATGGCTTCAGTGTGCCGTCGTCTTGCAATAAGAATAGAGTTCTCGTGGCATAAGTCTTCGTGCTAGTCGAATTTATCCGCCGCATGTACGGCATCAATGCATCATGATGATTCAATATGAACAGTTTGTTGCCTTTAAGTGCCTGAATAACATATGATCAAAACAATTAGTATTCAACAGAGAAACATTACAATATGACAAGGCGATAACTGTAGTAAAGCCGATACTTCTTCCACTGTGAGTCCATTCATATTCATCTCAATATGTTCCGTCATAATCCTACTCTTCTGGTTCCCATATGCTTTCGGATCAAGCTTGCTGGCTGGTGGAAATTCTTCGAGCCGACTGATGACAACAGGATTGACTCCGGCTAGTGTTTCTCGTGCAAACTCTTCGTCTGTCCTCCAGGCCGACTTGTCCTCTGCAACCACACACACCATAAGCAACGTCGTCGGAATTAAGGGTTAGATGGGGTAGTTCCTGCATATACCTTTGATGACAGCAGGCAATGGGAACTTCATGAACCGTTCACCATCGTTACGAACAAGTTCTCGGATCATCTCCCAAGGGAGGCAATCCCTTATCTTCTTAAGAGTGTCATCATTTGGTAGTTTGATACCACCTTCATATAGATTGAGTACATCTTGAAACGAATCAAACTCGTTTACGGTTTTGTCGTACACCGCTGCAATCTCGGGGACCAATACCTGAAACAATGATTTGAGAGCATAGGCCAGAAAATCCGAAAATTTCACCATGTTGAATTGTTCATCTCTTGGAACATAAATGTTTAAGTTTAGAAGCGATAGCCTGCTCTCTGTATTCGGATCTGTTACAATGGTAAAACAAAACATTACATTATATTGCAAATGATGTCTGTCTATGCTTAACATACTTATAAATGCTCACCTTTTTTGTGTGGTTTCCGACCGGTTCTCCCCCGTCTCGGATATGGAATCTCCTGCGATCCGCCAAGGACCGGACGCGTGAAATTACGACCCTTTTCAGGCATTGCCAAGTCATTATAGTAATCATAATCATAAACTCTATCCCATTCATTGAGCTTTCCTTTTCCTTTTCCTTTTCCATTTCCTCTGATATTCATCAGCTCTTCTTCCCTATACTTGCGTAATGGTTCAGGCATTTGACATGGAAGGTAGGTCTAAAATCCAACACATCAAAGTTGTGTCTTAACGAACAGACATAATGTTCATAATTACTGAAACAACTGGACCGAACAATGATCATGTTACATACGAAAACGAAAGTTACCTTGTTGGAGAAGAAAACTCGATGATAATTGTAACGATGAGCTGGATACACCCACGAATTGCATACGAAATGGAGGCGGCCGTGGCCTGGAACATCTTCGAGAGTGAGTGTCTTGAGGTAGAACTGGCTGTGGTGATGGTTTTTAACGATGAAAGCTCCAGGGACGCCCATGGATTCATCCCACTCGAATTCGATGCTAAACACGGTTTCACCAGCGGTTAACGGTGTGACCGTTGTGATCCATTTCTCCAAATATGCAGGCTTCCCTCGCAACCCGTCGGCTGTAACACACCGGAAATTTCTTAACATAACCAATTCGATCAGTTAATTCGGTTAATCCCGAATAACAAACACAATTACTAATCTGGTTCCCCTTGCTTGCAAGATTCAAATAACAATCACTGAATGAGCATTGCTTAAAAGACTCCACTTTATATACCAAATTCTAACAAGCAACAAACATTCGTAATTAAAAAAAAACCAGAAAAAGACAAACATGTAAGAAACCAACCAGGGTCTGTATGAACAGCACCGATAAGCTGCAAAGACACGCCTTTGCCTAGCAGCTCATGAACTCGATCGAGCAAAGAAGATTTGAGATCATTGAAGTCCAAAACATTTTTTTTCATCAAAGCCACTGTTCCTTTGATCATCATCTTCTTGTTCTTGTTCTCTTCGGACATGCCTTTATCCTCTGTTCTTGGCTTCCCACAGAACATCACCATCGCTTTGTTGAACACCCTTGAACTTGGACAGTACCCCATGAAAGACGGCTACCTGAAAACCCAGATAAAAAGATTTGATCTTTTTTAGCTTCAAGTGGTTGAAATCTGGTAATGTTGATGAATGTAAGGAGGGAGACAGGCTTTGTGTCTGGTTTTTCTTGACTTGGATTTGGATGGAACGAATCAAGGTTTTATATACTTCCAAATGACACAGTTCGATAAGAAATTTCATGGTTTCCCTTTTTTGGTTTAAATATGATCCTGGTCCTTATACTCTTTGGACTTCTGACATTTATCCCCACTCTTTTTATTTCTAGGAATGTAGTCCATCCATTTGTTTGATTTGAAAACTATTAATGGATTCCCATTAAATTTGAATGAATTTAATTTATAACGCACATTCAAATTCAACAGAAATTAATTAATGGTGTTATATTAATGGACTTTAATTTTTAAATCAGATAAATAGATTATTTAAATCCCTAACTTAAAAGCATAGAGATTAAATATCAAAAGTTTGAAGTGTACAAGGATGGAGGCACAGTTAGACCTTGCTTTTAGGTCAAATTTTAGTCCACTCCCTCTACTATACTCGAAATGTCAATATTGATTCGTATCCCAAAATCAACTCTCTCTAACACACAGAAACTCATATCAACGCGATAACCTACCTAAAACGGTGTTTTTAACATAAATCAACAACAACACTTTAATTGGAGTTATTAACCGTGTCGGTTATTTGGACTAAATAACGATACTAAAAAAGTAGAGAGGTTAAAATCATGTCAAATTAAAATATATGGACTAGATATTAAATTTAAACATATGAGAGGGACCAAAACCAAATATTACTTTTTACTAGAATTTGGATGCATATGTCTTTATTAGTTGATAATTAAAGGACCTGATTCCACCCAGACGGTCCATTTCTATTGTTCTACTTATGGGAACTCTTTCTAAATAAGAAATGCCGCGTAGCTTCTTTCATAACATACAATAATATCAAATATTATGAATAAAATAAAATAAATTAAAAAAATATTTATAATATTTAATTTAAATTATTTAATCAATAAATCATATATTAATTATAAAATATAGATTTTGCCTTTTATTTTTATAATATTTTATATGTACGTCTCTTAGGCTCACACATGACACATGCTACCTCTTTTTGTGGCATATACCTTGATTTCTTTAGCAGCCATGTACATTAAATGATTCTATGTGATTTTTTTTTTCTTTTTCGGTTAAGCTTCACCTTTATTAATTCGAATTGATCCGGGTCGTACACTTAGTTTTGGTGGGTGAGTTTCCCAATGATGATTTTTCTACATACACAATAACTCGAATCTAAGACTTACTTAAGCGATATTAAACTGTTTAACACTTGAACTAACCCGTTAGTTGATTATCTTATTTTTTACTTGCGGGTAAGTTAATCCTAGGTTTACCTATAAGATGCTTTTATCTTTAGATCATTTTTTTAATTTCTATTTGATTTTACTGTTAATATTAATCTGACCAACAATAAGATTAAATTTGATAGCCTAAAGTCATAAAATCACTCAAGAATTGTCACATTAACATATAGGATAAATTATACGTATAGTACCTAAACTATCGAGTTTGATCCATTTTAGTATCTAAACTTTTAGTCTTTTCAAAACCATACCTAAACTTTTAATTTTATTTCATTTTAATACCCATGTTCAAAATTTAATATTAAGTTTTGAAAAAATTAAAAATTTAGCTACTAAAATAGTAAAATGGACTAAAATTGATAGTTTAGGTACTAAACGCGTTAAATTTGTAACAATGGGGTACTAAAATGAAACAAAAACTAAACATTAAATATGATTTTGAAAAAAATGAAAGTTTAGGTACTAAAATGAACTAAAACTGGTACTTTAGGCACTAATGCATAGTTTACCCTAACATATATACATATGTTGTAACGAATAAAGATGTTAAATTTTGATCGAAATATTTAGGCATAATATTAAAATTAGCTCCCAATGTTTATTAAAACAATTATTTTGTCTCCTATTCTATTGTTGGAGCATTTTTGCCGTTAACATTTTATTTTAAGGTAAAAGGCATCAAATATTTGACTAAATAATTACTTTGGCCCTTAATCTTTTTTCTATAGCATTTTAACCTTCAACATTTCATTTAAGGTTAAAAGGCCCTTATTTTAAGGCATTATTCTTGCGTTAACTAATAGTTTCCATCTATAGAATCGATTTTTTTTCCCTAAAGTGAAACATTGGGAAAATAATTAAGAAAAGAATAAAGATCAAAATGACTATTTTAATAAATATTGGGGGCTATTTTTTATATTATGCCAAATATTTATTGCTAGGGAAATGAAAATCAATCATAACCATTAGTTTTGATTATAATTTATTTGAATATGAATTACTTATAATCGTAATTGTATATTGTACTTGTAAGTTTTTTTAAAAGTAATTTTTATTAAGCTAAAGTGATTACAAAATACTTTTTGTTCTACATACTCTCAATATTTCGACAACGAACACTCAATCAGCCTACTACAGTAGCTAGTGCTCGGACTCATAATCTCTAGAAACAACAACGATTCCTTTAACAACTAAGGTAAATTGGTTCGTGCTAACAAAATAAAGTTTTATCCTAGAAAAAATGGATCCTTCTGGCCACTGGGATTAATTAGTAATTGCTCTATTCATAGAAAAAATTGGCCTTTGTGATGCTTGCAAATTTGGAACCTTAAGGTTTTTTTAAAGAAATCTTTACCGTGTCACATCAATATTTTTTAATAGTTACTAACATCAATGACTATGATGAACAACAATAGTTACCAGGAAAGAATTAAAAGTTTAACGATTGTAATATAAATTTTAAAAGTTCGATGACCAAAGTAAAAGCACCCTAAAAGTTCAATGTCTATCAATATAGTTTACCCTCGATTTTTTAAAAGTTGAAAGATAAATTAAAATCCCTCAAACTTTCTAAAAGTTCAATTGGCCACTATATGACATAGCCATTCACATATAAATCATCACATCAACACAATTAGCCACTGCAATAATAACGTAATGATCAATAATTTTCATCGATCAAAAAATAATACTAATATAATTAATTAAGAACGAGAATAAATATCGATGATTTTAATTCAGTACTAGAATAAAAACTCCCCTTAAGAGGTGTAATAAATAGATCACTGCCTCTCAACTCATAAACTATATATTAAGTTAATTGCATCATATGTCCTCAAACTATAACTTCAATTTTAAATTGATCTTAAACTTTTGAATATTTCAATTTTATCCCTGAACTATGATTCTCATTCTAAATTATTCCTTGAACTTTTGAACATTCTAATTTAATAACTAAATCAAGACTCTCTATCTAAATTCATCTAAATACATAATTAGTTTCAACCATAATTTAACCTGAATTTTGTTTTTTTTTCAAACTTATAATAATATAACATGGCCTAATGATTTTATGAACAGGGCATGTGATTAGTATATACATATTGTTTGGGATAAAATTAGAATGTTCAAAAAGCTTGGGGACTAATTAGAATGAATGTCATAGTTTAGGGATGGAATTGGAACGTTTAAAAATTTAGGGACCAATTAGAATTTCTAAATACATAATCCTTGGCAATTATATGTTGTAATTTAGAATAATTTAAATTCAAGATATGCAAACGCATATTTGCCAACTCAATTATGACCCCAAACAACCTTATCATCAATATTAGGTCCCAAATCATTATGGATAAGTCCATTATTCGTCATCATCATCTGCATACTTTTGTTCCTCCCAAACCTAACAATAATTCATCAAAAATTGGAAACCACAAAAGTTATTAAGTACTAACTTATGATTTGTGAATTGAATACATAATAATATGGAAAAAGTTAGAATACCCAATTTATCATTTTCGCCCTTATCGTATTTCTGCATTAATTTAGCACTCGAAGCTGCTCAATTGCATCATTCTATACTATATTCCTAACTTAAAACTCTAACCCTAAACCATAACCCATAATCTCTAACCATAAATACTAACTTATAATTTATAGTTTAAGGTTTTAAGTCAGTGATAGGATATGAAATGATGCAGTTAAGTACTTTTGAGGACTAAATTGATATAAAATACGATATAGACGAAAATAATAAATTGAATCTACTACAAAGACAAAAGTTACCCTTAAGCCTAATAATATACAACGATGTTTAATATAGATATATCGTGCGAGTAATATAAAGAATCAAATCTTGTATTAATTAGTAATTGATATTTATAAATATTTAAAAGTATTGTTGTTTGTTAGATTTTATTTATGTTTATGTTACTATGTGTCTTTATATGTGCTATATGGATAGATAATTTTCAATTATTTGATATTAAATACTCACTCCTCTAATATTTTTAGTGTTCAAACTCGAAACTTTAAGAAATAACGAAAATAACAATAATTTATTTACACCGAGATCGTAGGTTAATACATGAAAAAAAAAAATAAACAAACATCGAGAGCAAATAAGAACAATTGCAAATAAACAATTGCATCTTCAATTGATCTTTATAAGAAAAAAGATCAGCAAGAATCTGGCCTGGGTTTCTTGCGAACTGAAATGCAGCCTCGTTGATGATCTCTAAAAACCCGAATCTCAGAACAATCCCTCAGATCTTCGAGGCTGATATACTGCTGCTTGACCATCCTCGATGAATCACCCGCCGTGTCATTCACCCAAACGTAAGGGTGACAAGTTTGATCATAGTAATAAAGCAAGCTCTTCATCCCTCCACCGCCTCCGTCGCTTCCGCCGCCGGGCATATACGCCTTGTATATGCTCTTGCACTCGAGTCTCTTCGAACACCCGGGTTTCAACGTGTGAACCTTCTTGAGGATCGATCCCACTCGTACTTGGAGCTCCACGGCCCTGTCGCTGTGGTTCCAGACCGGGTGCCGAGACCCGACGATCGAGTGTGGTCTCGGCACCCGTTGAAACAACCCCCGAAGGGGAAGATGCCCAAGCTCGGCATCCTGCGTTGAAATGAGTCCGGGCGTTTGGTCATTTGGGGCTTGGGAGCCATGTTCATTGTACTTTATAAGACTGTTTGTTCAACAAACATTTATTGATTAAGGTGAAATGTTTATATATACATGGAAAAGGACTCCATGTGTTAATCTTTTTTAACATCAACGGCTGTGATTATTAGTTTGTGATCCCCACCAATGGGATATTATCATTTTTCAGTCCACATTATTCTTTGCCCTTGTTTTAAGCTATGTTGTTAGTTCCCTTTAGAATATATGTATTCAATATTTTTGTCTATAGATAAGAGAGAATAAACTTATAATAAATCGCACTTGCCAGCTCCTCAATCTATCCCTAACAACAACACGGAGTTAAATGACCTAAATAGACCAAATCGAAAATGACCCAAACAAATAATCCAAATAATCAGGACTTGAAGTTATTAAAACTCGAAATGACTTGAACCCGAATCGATATAAACTTAAATGACAAAAAAGACCTTGGCATTCTAGCAAATGGCTTTTCTTTTCCTCTCTTGTTTGTTGGGAAGGTAAAGGGAAAGATGTAAATGGCACCCACTATGATGATGAAGGTGGATATGATGTTGCTTCATCTTTTATTATGGCAGTTGCTTTTTTATGTTTTTTCTATGCTTTGTTCAACTCCCAAAACCAACCCTACCCTTTTGTTTATCCTCCCAGAAATCAGTTCTAATTAATATTTAGGGTAAACTACATCATATACCTCAAAACTTTAGGTATTGTATCATTTGTACCACTGAACTTTCAATTCTATCATAACAGTCAGATCTAAATAAAAATCAAAGTTCAGTGCTATAATTAACAAAATTAAAAATTCAGTGGTATATACAATACAACGATTAAAGTTTAGTGGTATATGATGTAGTTTACCCTAATATTTTTTTACTAAGCTACGTGATTACACACTAGTATTTGTTCTAAATACTATCAACCATTTGATATTGAACACCCAATCACTCATGATGTATTCGTTGGTGCTCGAACTCGAAATCTTTAAAAACAAAAATCATTCTTTTAACTACTGAAATAATTTGGTTCGTGCTATTTTATCATCTAATTATTAATAATATATGCATCGTATATTAGTCTATGTAGGTACAGTTAGTAGGAAGGGAAAGCTGGACCATCTACTTTGGATAAAATGGATAATGTCTCCATAGTGAGGGTTTTAGCATTTTCCGAGATCCCTTTAACATCCCTTCTTTTAATCATTGAACGCGTTAATCACTCGCCAATATTGCCAATATTGGAAGCCACTGTCCACCGAAATTAGGGATGGGCATGGGACCGAATCTGATGGTTTCGATCCGATCGGGTCAGATTTTTTTTTAAAAAATCGGATTCAGGTCGGATCAGTTCGGGTTTATGGTGAAAAATATCTGACCCGACCCAACCCGAAAATATATAATTTTATCTTATATTTTAGAAATAATTATAATATCTCTCTATACTTTTTTTCAATTAAGTCACTATTTTTATTGAATAAATATAATATTTTTATTATTATTTCGAGTCGGGTCAAGTCGGGTTGGGTCTAAGGTGGTGGACTCCTTGTTCTCGGGTCAGGTCGGATGAACCAAAAACCCGACCCATGCCCATCTCTACGCCGAATGCTATTATCTTTTCCGTTAGATTAATGAGGGCAATTTAACCGAAATAGATGGTTTCAATTTGACCTGATTTAACATGATTAAAATTTAAAAAGAATTATAGGTTTGTATCGAGTTGGGCTGAATTTTTTTTAAGGGAATGAGGTTGGATTGGGTCGGATTTGAGTGGAGAGTGAAAATATTTTGACCGACTCAACTCGGATAATAATGTAATTTTCTTAAAAAATTATTATTATTTAATTAAATCCTTATTTTATATCGGATCAGATTTATACTCTAAAAATTTGAATGAAATCAAAATCTAATAGAGGATATATATTTTTCGGGGTTAGATTGAATCAAATAAAGGATATATAACTTTTGAATCGGGTCAAGTTCAAATGAAGGATACATATTTTTCAGATCAAATTAGGTTGACAAAAATCTGACTTGACCCGTTACCATCCCTAGTTAAGACTCGATACACACGAAAATAATATGAATATTATCTAAATATTTGAGTTTGTAAAAAAACGTCATATGCTCTATTAATGTAATAATTAAAAAAATTAAAATTTTATGATTATCTTAAGTTTAAAATATGGATAAACAAAACTTATAATCATTTAACTATTGTTCCTTTTTATTTTGACAACTTATTTTTTTATTTTACCAATCAAACAATTTAATTATTTAATTGTTATCAATTAAGTCACTTTTTGTTAACATTCAACAAAGGAAGTAATATGACTATTAACAAAATTACTATAATTATATATTTAGTCCTCGTTACTTATATATATTCTATTTAATTTAGTCAAAATTTTAAATTAATTCAATAACTTTGTTTCACTAATGACACATGTCACAAACTGTTTTAGAGATTAAATTTATTGATTTAATTTAAAACTAGGATCAAATTGATAAATGTGTAAGTAATGATGACTAAGTTATAATTATAACAACTTTATTAACAATCACACCATCTCCTCTATTAAATATTAACCACATATAGTTTGGTTAACAATAAAGGTAAAATTGCTTGAATGACCACCCAATTATAGGGTTGGTATCAAATTACTATCATTTTGAAAATTGCATCAATATGACCACTGAACTATTTAATTTGGTTCAATATAGCCACCCGATGTTAGTATTTAACGGAAGTGTTTACGTTACAGTTAACAAAATTGGTATAATTATATATTTGATCTCGATACTTGTACAATCAATTAATTTGATCCTAATTTTAATTTTATTTAATAAATTAATCATTCAATCAGGAGGTGATACATGTCACCATTAGGTTAAATGATGTATTTTAATTTTAATGTATTTAATTTAATTATTTATCTTCCAATCATATGGTGACATGTCACCCTCCGGGTGAAAGGAAAACTAAATATGTAAAGAAATGCATAAATAATGCCTTTTAGGTAGGGATGGACACTTAACCTGAACCCGACCCGACCCGATCAGATTTTTTTAATTTCGGGTTCTGTTCGGATTTTTTTAAGTTTGATATTCGGTTGGGTTCGGGTTTAGGGTGAAAAATACTCGACCCGAAAATATATATAATTTTACCTTATATATTTAGGAATAATTACAATAATACCCCTCTATATATATTTTTTTCAATTAAGTCACTATTTTTATTGAATAAAAATAATTTTTATTATTATTTCGGGTCGAGTTTCTAAGTCATATATTCGGTACAGGTCGGGTCTCGGGTGAAGGCTCCTTTGTTCTCGAGTCGGGTAGACCAAAAACTCAACCTATGCCCATCCTAACTTTTAGGGGCTTTAAACTTGTGACCAAGGAAACCAAGTCTACATGTTTTACAACATAATACATATATTTTATATAAAGTAGTTAATGTTAGAAGAAAAAAAATACATATGAAGGGTTTTGAATCTAGGCCATGGAAAACTTAAAGTACCAAACCTTAAACCAAATTATACATTTATATAATAATTTGGTAAATTTTATATATAAACCTAACACTAATTTATACAATATTAAAAGAAAATTAAATTTAAAATTTATATATTTTTAAAAATAAATTAATATTTTCTTTTTCACGTTTATAATTCAATTATTATAGATAATTTTAAATTGAGTTTTTTTAATTTAATTAATTAATTTAATTTTTCTTTTAATATTATACAAATCAATGTTAAATGTAAATATAAAATCTATCAAATTATTATTTAAATGTGAGATTTAGTTTAGTGATTTGTTGCTTTTCATGTGATTTAGGTTCAAATTCTTTTATAAGCATTTTCATTTTTTTAGCATTAACTACTTTGTAATATATATATATATATATATTATGTTTTAAAAATCATCACCAATATGGATGTTGGCTTAGTAAATTAAAAATATAATTTAATATAATTGTGATGTGTCACCTCTTGATTGGATGATTAATTTATTAAATAAAATTAAAATTAGGACTAAATTAATTGAATGCATAAGTATTGAGAGTCAAATATATAATTATACCAATTTTGTTAACTGGCACATAAACACTTCCGTTTTTCAAGTAATACTAGGATATATACATTTACCAAGCTGCATCAACAACGTCTTGCCAATTAAAAACTGAACAAATACAGTCGTGACTATCATAAGTAAAATATAACAATGATCGCCTAGTGATAGCTTGACAAACAAAAACATGAACAAGTGAAGCAATGATGTACATAAACAGATCACTACAACGGCTTCGAGCATCAAACATAGAGGAGAAAAAATTGAAGAAGAGCCAAAACGGCCAACGGAAAAAGCGATCTTCCCTTAATAGCAATTCCATCCGACACATATATGCGATAACCAATGGATTATCTTGTACAAACGAACAGAGAAACCGACCACCACTGCTGCCCCTAAAGATAGAGCGTCGGGTAACCGGAGAGCAAAGAAGGGTAACTGTTGCAGAGGAAAGTTAAATAATTGCTGCAGAGTAATAAGCCTTTATTTGAACTCAATTAAATACTAACATCATGTGGCTATATTGAACCCAATTAAATAGTTAAGTGATCATGTTGATGCAATTTTGAAAATGTTGGCCATTTCGATACCAACCCCATAGTTAGACGGTCATTCAAGTAATTTACCTTAACAATAATTAAATAGTTAAGTAGTCGTACGAATAATTTAGCCATAAATCATTTTGCAATTCGTTCTTCATGTTCTGATTAAGGGTTTGAATGATTTTGAACTCAATCATTTTAGTTCAATTTATTTAATGAGTTTGTTGACTGCTAGTGGTTAAATCATGATTGATCATGTTCGTATTAATTAGTTGAATTTCACAAGCAACAAATCAGCATGCACAAAAGCATTGCTTGCACCGCAAGAAAGGGTTAAAAGAAGAAAACAATTATTTTCATTGATCTTGAATTGGGCTGTGTACAATGCACAAAATGGCATGCCGAAGCAATGGGCAATAAGGTTAAGGTAAAAGAATTTACAGCTGATATTTGGGGTTTTACTCTTCACTACTGCTGTTTTCACCGGGGTCTATCTTTACCGTAAAAGGCAGGCCGGCAACGGGCGATCCCGGCGACGAGCTTATGATGCTGCTTATGTCCTCGCTTTCGGCCAACGCTTTTTCCATAGCCGTCTTCGCAACTTTTGTCACACAAATCATTAGAACCACTGCATGTAGATCAACAATGCAAATGTCAAAAACTTGTGTAATCTTCACCTACAGGATATTGAATATAGGTTTTTCGGGCCGGTATGTGCCCTGCCGAAATGGGCTTGGACAAAGGATTTCCAGAAGTTCCGGGACACGGCCCGAATCGAGCCGACTCATGGATACCTCTACTGAATATCCATCATGGTTTTGAAAAATAATCATGAACTTTTCTATATGTGTTTTATCACACAGCTTGCATTACTTCGAAATCGGAATTCCACTTACCAGACACAAGAAGGCCCACTATGAGAAATGCCTGCATTCATAAGAAGTAAAAACACAGATCAGAATACAAAACATAAATGACATGAAAGCAAGTTAAGCATTCTTATCATTCTAATCGGGACTGCGAAATACAAGCACGGAATGTACCGAGGTTCATTTTTACGTCTGTCAAAGGGAAGAGTCCTACAGAAAAGTAACTAGAACTATATTTTCCTGGCCTAAAACGTACCTCAGTCGAAATTAAAAAATGGACCGGTATAAAGAACATGACACATACCCAACGAGCAGTTGAAAACCCATTCCATCCATGTGTAACTTCAGAAAGATCCTTAACTGTTGTTCCGACGTAAACTAAAGCAAGGGTTAATGGCTGTAACAAACACGAATCTCAACGTTAAATCCGCTGTATAAAAAAAATAGTATAACAAGATATTATTGGAAAGAATGCTAGGTAGGTTATATAGATGCAGTACCATCATCCCTAGCCAGGAGGCCAGCATGTATTCTCCGAATGAGATGGGGGTCACCGACAACAGATAATTCAACAAGCTAAAAGGGATTAAAGGTGCGAGTCGAAGCAGCAAAACAATCTGTCCATTTTCATCAGAAGGAAGTTTAGAAATCTGCAGAATTTTCAGCAGTGAATGAAACAGTCAATCCAAATAGCTGGACTGCCATCGGTATAAAAAAAAACTTGGTACAAAAGTGTTGTCATAGAAATCATCAGTGAAAATATAAATGTCGTCGGATTAGTTTCTTAACGTCTTTGGAGGATACAACAAGGCATGTCAAAGTAGGATTAGTGCATACCAGAGATACATTAAACAGACCGTGTTAACAGCGTCAAACTGGGATTACTAAATATGCATAAGATTATACCACAGTTCAGAATAATATAGAAAAATGAAGCCGTGCAGAAACTTTTTAACATAACGTTGTGATAGCCGATAGGTACTACTAATCAAAATGACATGTTTATAGTAGACGTGTATATTTAGCGTGTCTTAAATACGTACAAGACTAAAACCTTTTCAATTAACTTTTTTAAGGAAAAAAGGGAGATGATAATATAAGCACGGCTGACACGAGAGGCTAGATAAGCATGGTTAATCAAACATATAATGCTAGAGTTTGCAAGCATGCCCAGTAGTACAGAAATAACAAGCGACGTTTTTCTCTAGATACTATGAAACATCATATTGAAAGCTAGAAGAAAACACTTTCCTTTTATCGAACTTTCAAATTTATGAGGTGAAACACAATTTAGTTATTTATTCCACTATGCGACTCAACACTTTTCATGAAGTTGTGATACCTTCACATTCATGAAATCATTCTAATGCATAAAGTGTCATCAAATCATATAAATTTAGGAAATGCTATGAGGTGTTTCTAAACAAGGCCTTATATGGCTGATAAACCAAGAATCATCCTTCAAAAATTAATACAAAGCATGCAAACCTTAAAGCCAGATTTCCGTGTTGCAATTGCTACTAACTGGAACTGAGAATAATCTTTCAGCTGCGAAACAACCAATGATCTCCCAATCTGTACAAGATCATCATAATTCTAATAAGATGAAAATTGGAAGAGATACAAAATTAATTAACAAGGGAAAAGTAGGGAGAAGGATATGAAGATTAGTGAAAAGAAACATCTAAGGTATCAATGTTTTGTTTTATTCCGATGAAAGGTAAACCAGTAAGATAAAACATTGAGAGTTCCATAAGAAATCAATGAGCATACTGTTTTGCCTAGAAGGAATGCTGCTGCGGCACCAAGAGTTGCACCAACAGAATCTGAAATGAAGCCCACAGGCAATCCGAAAAGATAACCACCACCAAGCTGAAGGATAAAACACAGTGTCTTGCAATGTTAAGACCTTATTTATTGCTAATTTAATGTTTGAAGGAGATTGTTTAATGCACAAGTATATTGCAAAGTAAAACATGTCAAATAACACGAAGAAACTGAATAAGGCAGGTCACAAATAAATAAGAAAACAAGTTAAAATATCACATGGTCAGTTAAATTTCACATTAATTTTAACAATGCAAGTCAATCATAGATTAAAGTAAGAAATGTTGCTCTTTTAATTGTCCAGTACATAGAATAGGTTATAACAATGAGTGTCAAGTTAGCAATAGCCTATCAGATTCAGATACTTAGAGATGGCCCTACTGCACGTAAGACAACCATAAGAAGGAATGCAAGATTTAGGATCATTAAGTTAAAAGGAAAAAAATGGAAAAGAATAGAAATCACATCGGAACAGAAGTTTAAAGCTTACAGTCAGAACTGAAGCTGGAACAGCCAAGATTGTCAGAGGAATATATGCAACAGCTCTGCACATCAAGTAGGAAAAATGAGTTGAAAGGTAAAAAAAATCGTAATATATCAGAGTCCAGTTATTTAGAGCCACTCAATTCACCAGCAAAGTGACGACCACCCATCCAGAAGCTTCAAATTTAGGGGCAATCGACATAACAACAGGCTAAGATTGATATTCATTGAGGGGCATTCTATTCATTCATTGTTAGAGAACACATACAGTGACATTGTTCCTATGTTTCACATAAACAAGATGATCCAGTTTCCGTTTAAATGTACACAAACATGTTACTAAAGCATATAAGACTAAATGGAAACAAAAAACTTTCAACTCAGACCAGGTTCGACAAAGTCTCGAAAACAATTTAAATTAGACTTCATAGATTAAATATTACAACAAGTAGTACAAAAAATGAACTGCATATTAAAGAATAATGCAAGCAAAATCCTTGATGCTAATTGAAAACAGAAAGATATTTAGGTAGGGTTCAAGTGGCTTACAGCGCAAGGGGACCCCAAGGTCCAAGTTCGTTATCAACCCATACCAAAAAATCCTTCAGAATCTGCAAGGAAAAAACTTATTTTTAGCAATGTACAGAATGTAGCCAAATAACAATCGGGCTTAATTTAAAATGAACATTTAACATTTAGAAAGCCTGCAGAATAGAAATCCAATTGATGGATAATTCATACACAAACAGTTTCCAAAACGTGCCAGAAAGATAATTCATTGAACTAAAACAAACTCCATATTTCAAATCTTCAAGCAGTGCAAACACCAAAGCTCTAATAACAAGAAAAACCCAGATTAACAATACCAAAACAACAATAGAAACAATAAAGATCAATCAAAAGAATAGAGGGAAAAAACAAATCCCCAGATGAGAAAACACAAAATGGAAGCAAAATTATGAATGAGAAAAGAGAATTCACTCAAAACAATAAAAGAAAGTGCAAAAGGCTAGAAAAAGGAGCAAACCGCTTCAATGGGGAGGGTGAAACAAGCATGAATAATAGCCGCGAGAAGAAGTACAAGAAGAACGATCCCGAGAGCAGTTGTCAACGTGAAAGCCATTAACAACCTACGACGCCAAGGCCTACACTCGTCGTCTTCGTTATTAGTATCGAAGGTCGCTTTGTTTCAACGATGAACGTGCCCCCTTTATCTTTCTCTCCTTGCCAGATTTTCTTTAAAAAAAAAAGTTACAGGAAACAACAACAACGTACAACGATCCTTTCTCCCTTGTGTTTGTTGTTGTTTCCTTTCTCTTTCGCAGTTTCAGCCTAAAAACACACAGGGAATTCTGGGTTTTTGCATGATTGCTTAATGCTTATATATTTAAAAATTTCAATATTTTTTAGGATATTTTTAGTATTGAAACAGCTGAAAATGATTTGGCGGGATGGGGTTTACAAGTGTGTAGGAAGCTTCGTTCATTTTGTTCGATACAGGGTAATTAAAGCTACTTTGTTTCTACAAAATTAGAATTCCACAGCTATTTATTTATGTATTCAAGGGGAAAGGATCTGGATTTTGTTAGTGGATAACTAAAAAATATTTATAAATTTATTAATCTTAGTTTAATCGTTAAATAATATTTTATCTTTAAATTATGACTCTCATTCTAAATTATTCCGTAAACTTTTGAATATTTTAATTTTATCTCTAAACTGTGTTGGTGCCCAAACTTTTGATTATTCTAATTTCATCCCTAAATTTATCCAAATACATAATTAGTTTCAAACATATAATAATATAACTTAATCTAACGATTTTATTAACAATGGATGTGATTAGTATATACATATAGTTTGGGATGAAATTGGAATGTTTAAAAAGTTTGGGTCCAATTTAAAATTAAGGTAATAGTTTAGGGATGAAATAGAATATTTAAAATAATGGTCATACTTTTAGGACAAAATCTAATAAGATCCGGAATGTCTTAAACATGAAATTTGGGTAAAGTTGTCTCAATAAGATTATTTCGTTTAGCATACACTCTAGAGTACTTACAAGTGATAGTATTTGTTCTAAAGACTCAATAATTTAACAATGAATGTTCAAATTTTTTGTAGTCATTGGTATTCGAACCTGAGACTTCTAAGAATAACAATCATTCTTTTAACCATTGAGACTATCAAAATCGCTTGCTTTGTGAAGTTGATAACTTTGTTTATGTCGGAATTTATCCATGAAGATGACTTTTTCTATGATAACGTGACACTATGAGATTATACCATATCATTAGGACTAAAAATAGATAAAAACAATTCTTAGTTTAAAGACTAGAGTGAACCAAATAGAAATTCATATATCACATTGAAAAAAAAACTAAATTCAAGGACTAAATATTACATTATCCTAAAATCAAAAGGTAAATCCTGTTCAGTCAAACGATTACCCCAATTTCCATCAAAATATAATTGTGATGTTAATTGTAATAACATAAAGCAAGTGTAGTAATTCAATGCCAGAAGTTAAAGGAGCATTCACCCAAATTTTGTAGTCAAAAGCCCCAAAACAATGATTGCACATGAAGGATAAATAAAATCTCCAGTTTCTGTTTGTATAGGTTCCCCTACTATATAATATATCTACAAGCTTCTAAGTGGGGAGAACTTCAATGGTAATTCATGAGGGACAACCAAATTGTAGTTCACTACCTGCAAGTGCTTTCATCGACTTCGTAATCCGAATGCGTTGAAGCGGATAAAGTTTCAGCAAGTTGCTTCCTGCTGCTTTTCTGATACCTCTGAGCAGTCGCATTGACGATCTTGACAAAGAAGTTCATAAGCATAAGCCATACGATGGTATTCCATATCGAAGTAAACGAAAAATCCCACTTTCCCTGTGGTGGTAGAATAGATTTGTTAAAAAAATATCATTTGACTAAGTAGGCTAGCTGAGTAAAACTCGGGATTAGAATAGATTTCTTGTACCGGCGCAAGGAATGTACCTTGATATTTGAAGGCACAGGAGGTGGAGCAGCCAAGTACTTCTCTTTGACCGAATGGAGTTTTGCTGCGAGTATGGGCAAGAAAGAACCGAATCCAGGAATGAGGCTTAGCACCCAGATCAATTCATTCTCTATCCAGTCTAGGAGTTGATTATTACAGACAGAGATAATAAACACCGTCTGCAAGAAAAGGAAACGGTAGATACTTCTAAGATGCTTGCAGAATTAGAATCAAGAAAATCTAGCTTCATTAAGACGAATAGAAAGATAGAGTTGGTCTGGTAGAACACTGAAAGACGAACAATGAACACAAAGAGAGCATCACAGTTGAGGTTCAGCTTGTATGTAAAACGCAACGAGAACAATGCAATTAACAGACCTGTATGTGAGTTTTAATGATTGCCTTCCCAATCAATGTAGCAAGAAAGAACTTCCAGAATGGAATCCCAAATTGTCCACACATGATGCCAGCAAGGTCAAATAAAGGATTTGGGACCTGAACATTATTCAGTTCATCATCAGCGTGTTTACATGATAAATCAATCAAAAAATGGCACAAATAGTATTTATAATCTGCATTCAACTTATATGAAACGCCATTCTCAAGCAACATAATACCACACTTCACAATTGACGGGGAAATTCGCACACCATATTTATCTTAGCAACAATGTTTCTATCTTGAAAATTTTACTGGATTGATATAGTTAACGTCCTAAACAAGGATTTTCTCTGAAGAAAATGCATCAGAACATTGTTATTTTATGCCAGTGTGGCTGAATGGCCTAGGTGTGCATTTGTTAACGTGCATTCAGAAAATAAAACAGAGATAACTGTCAGACCACCAAATATGCACTAAAAATAAAACATCTTATGCTGCATCAATATTTTGCATTATTCAAAACAAATGAAAAAGAACAATGAAATTATAACTGACCGAGGCGAGCACTAAAATGGTTAAGAAGTTCATGTGTTGAGAGTGGGATAACAGCCAGCGTTCAATTTGTCTCAGGCGAGTAGCTATGACCCCATTATCCTCACTTGATGAAGGATCCATTTCTTCTAAGGCATCAATTCTGCTGCCTGATAAACTAGCTGGATAAAGCAGAAGGTCAAAATAAGCTGGTTATTATTCTAACAGTATGGAGTGCTAGTCAGAAATCTAAACACAAGTCTTTGACAACCAACAATCAGATAAAAAACAACCACGGGTCCCAAATTCATGGAGAAAAAATAATATATAATTTTTTAAAAAGGGGGCAACTACAATGCAACTCAAACAAATTTGATTAAGAGAACATTTAAAACCTTTAAGTTATTAATCAAAGTAAAACTTCAAGATAACTGTGATCAAGGAACTCATTTGCACTTCAAGATAACTGTGATCAAGGAACTCCTTTGCACTGTCAGTACCATACAATGTTAAGTTGCAAAGTTAGCATCATATCACTTACTCCTTTGCACTGTCAGTACCATACAATGTTAAGTTGCAAAGTTAGCATCATATCACTTATCAATCCCAATGCAAATAAGATTGGGGGATCTTCCAGAAATGCCCTCATCAGCCTTCCATAAACAGATTCTTCTAGCAAACCTTATTATTGTAACAAGGTATAAGTTATATATGGTGTAAAGATGTGATTCACACCTGCCCTTGAGATAAAGTAAGGAGGAAGCTCTCCAAGTGCGGTCCCAAGACCCCATAAGATAGCCTCCATCTGCACCTGAGGCAATATGCTGCTGATAGGAACCCTTGACCCATGTGACGTTGTAAATAATGGGGGCCCAAACTATCCGCAGGGTTTATCCAGCCATGAAGGACCTCTCTTTAACTGTATTGTATCATACGGAGCACTCTTCAGGTCTATTCGTCCACATTGCATTGCTTTTATTGTAAACAAGGCAATATGAGGACCCAAATAAAGGACATAAGTGTGCAGACCAGATCCTGGAATAAGAAAGGTAAATTAGAAAAGCACATGAACCCGGTCTATTTCTTCTGGATTACACAAAATTTCCTTCTGTATCAAGGCAGTATAAACATTAAGCAGATCAGATTTCATAAAAATTTCCTCGGCATATATTAAGGGTGAATAGTTCCTCCCTTTCTTCCAGGAAGTGTTTAAAATGGAGTGGTACATCATACACAACAATCTTCAAACAATCAATGAAGTGTTATTTCTAATCATCACATATCCCAGTTTGCTAGTTTTTCAACTACAATTGGTAGAAACAGATTAAGCAACCGTTGCGACTATAAACTTTAAAAACAGCAATAATTAGAAAGAAATCCATCTACAAGACTAGAACTATGCTTCAATGCAGAAGAAATTGTGTAATTCCACCATTTGACATCTGCTTAACACAGCCAGTGTTGAAAGAAAGTGTTAAAATAAACAAAGCATTGCTTGTAGCCTGGTATAACAGCAAAGAACTATTCATTGTGCCCACTCCTCCAGACAACATAAAAGATATTCTGAAATCAGTGTTCTTACCAAGACCAATTGAAGATGCAACACCAAGTGCAATCCACCATAATCCAAATCGAACATACCTAGAAACTTCCTCAACATGCTGATGAAAAATATAATCAAGGCATCAACTGTTAATTATTGTTTCCATTAATCTGATTAAAATAAATGATCAAAAATAAGAATGAGAAAAAAAGACTTCAACAATATCGAGCCGAAACTTACATATAAAACAAAAGGTTTCAAAAATATATAATCATTAAGACACAATAAGAACCGGCACAACCCCACCCCTAACCCCCACACAGAAGGAAAAGACACTCTAGCTCTTGTCTATTACTTAGAGAAAACAATAACAATAATGTGGCTGTAAATCTATTTTACAGCTATCAATACGAGGGTAAGGGTTACAAATAGAGTTTAATCCTAACCATATATTTAAACACAAAATGAAACTAATCATCCTAGCCATATATCTTTATATCTAATAATTTAAAAATAAGACAAATAATGATAAAATCTCCAATGTAACATTTGCATCCTCATTTGCATAGCTAAATGTAGCAGACAATACAGAGCACTCGCTCTTAACAAATAAAAACCTTTCCAACATCATAAAGAAGTACACTGTATCTTATCAAAAGAAAACCATGACAAAGAATGGATTATAGCAGGATAACCTACAAATTTGATTACCTTCTCATGAGGACCCTCGATGGTCCACAAGGAAAATTCCAAGAACAGCTATTAGAGTGCTTGAAAGCATAAGCCAACCACCCTTTGCCAAAGATACGATACAGATCGAGTGAAATACTGAAGGATAGCTAGAATGAAAACCATTAATGTTTGAAGGGCTGTGTTGTCA